GAAGTGATAGATTCACCTTTAACTATAACTTTATATGATGGAAGAATAATAAATTTAAAATATAGTCGTTTAGGAACAGTAGAAGGAAATTTAGCATATCACAAAATTATGTTTACGTGTTATCCAAAATATTGTATATCATTAAAAGATAGAAACTTTAATGAAATTTTAGGACTACAGTTTAAACTTCATAGAGATGATATCATGCAATCAGGTGATCAAATTATGACTATAGAATATAGAGCTTTATATACATTTATTAATTCTAATTATGGGAATATTTATTCCAATAAACCAAATATTGAAGTTCATACAGAATGTAAAGATATTAGTAAAATAATATAAACAAATAAACAAATAAACTTAATTCCAGAAGAATATGAATTTAGTATAATAAAAAATAAACCTGAAATAACAGAATTAAATAAAGAAGAATATTCTAATAATATTATATTTAAGGATAGAAAATTAATTAAAAGATTAAAAAGTTTTAAAATACCTAATAAAAATTAGTTAGAAGAAATCAACAAAATAAAATAAGTAAAACTATATAGGAATGCTGGAAATATGAAAATAGAAGGAGAATATTATAGTGGAAGAGAAAATATAAATGAATCAAATAGATTGATAGATACAGAAGTTAGTGAATTTCATATAGTTTCGATTAGAAATAAAGGTTTAATAACTCATAAAACTGAGTCATATAATTATGTAAAATTTGATGGACATGTACATATTACAGATTTAGAAATAAAGGTACCGATAAAAATAAGAGGAATAAATCTTTTAGTACCATGTTACATAGATAAGAGTTTGGATATAAACCCCCATATACTTTTAGGAATGAGTTTTCTAAATTAATTAAAAGATTATACTATAAAAAAAGAAGGATTATATATTGTTCATAATGAACAAACTACATTATGAAAAAGAATTAGATGAATAATCAGATAAGTTTTCCATTAACTGTGTATATGCAAATTACTATTGTAGAAACAAATATAAGAACTTGTGTTTTAATAGATACATGAAGTGATATAACTATATTTAAAAGTTTTTTAATAAAATCATGGAACAATAATAGTAATATAAAAATAACTGGAGTTACAGGAGAAAGTACTCAAATAATTAATAGCGTTGATAAAGTAAATATAATTCTTGAAAGTAAACAAGTTACAATAAATAAATTATATAAATATGATAAATTAGAATGTGATATATTATTAGGAAATGATTTTATTCAACAATTTCAATATTATAAACAAAATAATTATATGATAATGCTGCAAACACTTTGTGGACACTTATTAAAATTTTTTAGAGAATTTAAATCTTATAGGATTCAGCCAGCCCAGCGTGGTGATAAATGGGAGAAAAAACAAATTATATATAATGAAATAAAAAATAAAAGAATATTGTATAAAAAAATTTTAAAAATAGGAATAGAAATGAATATAGAAAAAATAATTGAACAGCCAGAAAAAGTTTATGGAGAAAATCCATTATTATTTTGGAAACCACATCACCCAAAAACTAAAATAGAATTAACAGAAAATATTATAATAAGAGTCAGACCAATGACGTATACTATAAAAGATACACAGGAATTTAAAAATCAGATAAGAGAATTATTAGAACAAAAATTTATTAGACCTAGTAATGGACCTCATAGTAGTCCAACCTTTATGGTTATGAAACATTCTGAACTAGTTAGAGAAAAAGCTATAATGATCATAAATTATAAAGAATTAAACAAATATACTAAATTTGATAGTTACTTTCTACCAAATAAAGAAGTGTTAATAAATATTGTAAAAAGAAAACAATATTATTTTAAATTTGATTGCAAATCAGGATTTTATCAAATAAAAATGGAAGAAGATAGTATACAATATACTGCATTTAGCACACCTCAAGGAAAATATGAATGGTTAGTTATGACATTTGGTCTAAAAAATGCACCACAAATATATCAAAGAAAGATGGATAATATATTTAAAAAGTTTAATGAATTTCTAATTGTTTATATATATGATATATTAATATGTTCTAATAGTAAAGAAGAACATAGAAATCATTTAATCCAATTTATTAGAGAATGTAAAAAGGAAGGAATTGTACTATTTAAAAAGAAATCTATAATAGAAAAACAAAAGATAGACTTTCTTGGATTATCATTAGATAAAAGAGGGATAAAATTACAGACTCATATATCTAAAAAGATAAAAAAATTTCCAAATAAATTAGAATCCAAAGAACAAATACAAAATTTTTTATGATATTTAAATTATGCAGAAGAATTTATTGAAAATCTTTCTAAGAAAAGACATAAAAACCAAATTTTACTTAGAAAAATAAATACTAAAGAATGGAATGAAGAACATACAGAAATAGTTAAATCATTAAAAGAAGAATGCAAAAATTTACCAAAATTTAGATTACCAAATGAAAAAGATAATTGGATTGTTAATACTGATACCTCAGATAAATATTGGGCAGAAATATTAAAAACAGATTTAAATGAAATTTGTAGATATTCAAGTGGAACCCTTAACCATGAAGAAATAAATTATATTACTCATGAGAAAGAATTACTAGCAATTATTAGAGGAATAAAGAAGTTCTCATTATTTTTATTATCCAAGAAATTTACTGTTGAAACTGATAATTTTCAAGTTGCAGGATTAGTCAGGAATAGACTATCATCAAAACTCCAATACAGAAGGCTCCATAAATGGCAAGCTTATTTAGCATTTTTATAATTTTGATATAATCCATATTAAAGGAGTTAATAATTTTCTTGTAGATTTTCTCAGCAGAAAAATAAAATTTGCTGATGGATAAAGTCAAGGTCACGAAATTATACCAATCTATCCTACATATACAAAAACGGACAGATTTTTCTTAAAAAAGAATCCGAAGATATAAACTCTGGAGCAATCCAGATTTCAGAGATGTTCAACTCAAATATAAAAAATATTGTTGAATATGACTACTGAGCATCATAAATATGGTATAGAACTCAAAAATCAAGTTGATGCTATTGCAGCGCAACTAAAAGATATATTGTCTGAGACAGATATACCAAAGAGCTCAGAAATGAGTTTTCCAAACCAATACCAAACAGGGACAACTGGAAGTAGCAGTGGACCCAGACGTGATAGCATTTCAACTGATAATAAAGGAGATTCCATTTCAGTATCATCAACCAAAATAGTTATGATACATGGAGATAAAAGAGATACCAAAACAATCAATATAATAGACCAAGAAGATAAAATCTCTTTAGATCCAAAAGAAGAAAAATATGTCGAAATAGTCAAAATTGTTTATGAAATAAAAATGAGTGATTCATATCTTATCTATTCGGGAATTAATGTTTATCCCAAAATAACAGTCATGGAAGGAGAAACCATTCATTTGTAAAAATTATGGCAGACTATGAATTCATGGATTTGATATATCCAGGAAAAGAGTTGATTGAAATTTCGAAGTTTGATGACATATTCATCAAGGAAGTATCCAGATTTGCCAAAGGACGAAAAATATATTTGAAATTCTATTTAATAAGTTCAGAATATGATGGAGTTGTTTACTATCCAGTCGAACATATAATCTCAATTGGATATGTTGCTGCCAATTTTCAAATAGATGTTATGAAAAATAATAGAAAAGTTCCAACAGTGGCAAAATCATGGATCAGACATATGAGAGCACTTGGAATTAAAGTCATTTACAACATTGCCAAAAATTTGTTTGATAAAAAATTCTCATACTTGTGTTAATATGAAAATTGGATGTTGGTATCCAATGGAGAATATGGAAAATCAGAAATTTTAAAGGACTATATTACAAGATTCGATATACATCAATTTTCAGGATGTTCTACTACTATAAAATAATCCTGCCAACTAAGGGAGTGCCCCAACTGTATGTGAAGAAATAAAGGAAGATGACAATAATACAGCAGCATGTGAAGACATTGAAGAAAAAAAGCAATAATAGAAAAAGATGATCTCTGGATAAAAAGTTGAATCAACATGTGAAGATGTAGGCCCAAGGAGGAAAATAATAAAAAGGCAAGTGTGCCTTTGTTGATGTACTCAACGATGTAATAGAGTCTCATAAACTTGTATAAATAGAGTTATTGTGATGGATAGAATAGAGATCTCATCTTATCTTGAAATCTCAAGTTGTAAGCAATAGTTACTCTAAAAACCATTCCCAATTTGAAAAATCAATTTTTCTGGAAATCCTTTTGTACCAAATAAAAGCCTTATATAAATTCTGATTGAAATAAAACTCCAATATTTTGATATGAATATGAGTTTCTAAATCTTTATTCCCATAGATTCTTGAAGGATCTGATAAAAAGTTTCATTCTTATTTTAGAAAAAAAAAGTTTCTCTTTAATAGAAGTCTAAAATTTTATTCTTTAGAAGTTGATACAGTAAGAGCAAGTAGCAAAAATACTAACAATTTCATGTAGGCAGTAGGCTGTTGAAGGAAGCAGTTTACAGATTCAGAGTTCGAAGGTCACTCGATTCTAAAAATAAAAATTCAGATCAAATATAAAGTAAAACTATTAAACTTTTGCTAAAATTAGAATGAATCTTTTTAAGATCTTAAAGAATCATAAGGATTAATTGATGATTATTTGTATGAATAAATGTCAGGATATATAATTGAAGGATTAGATAATCTATTAGAAAATTAGAAAAAATAAAGAATATTATTTCTCAATTAGGAAATATAAATTTACCGTTTAAAGAATATAGTATTTTAATTAGAAAATATGAAATATATGTTGCAGATTATTTTTATTTATTAGATTATAGAATGAATTTATATTCAAATATTCAAAGTAGAAGATAAAATGTTTAAAAAATTATGATTGAAAAGGAATAGTGATAGGCCCTAGTGGTGAGACCCGACCCGTCTTCTCAGCCCGCCCCATTTTCTGTTCGGATATCCGTCCCCGCAACGGCAACTAGGGTTTTTGCTTCTCTCTCTCTACACTCTGGTAAGTTCAAAGTGTATTTGAAGTAGCATATGCCTTCTACACACACGGAGACAATATGATAATGCTATTATCATAATTTCATCCAGATCAATCGAAGAGAAGAAGAAGAAGTGAAGAATAGAGAAGAAACTAATATGGCGAAGACAAAACCAGGCAAGAAGGACCTCGATTCTTACGGTATCAAAGGCACCAACAAAATTGTCAGACGTATGAATTACTCTCTGTCTTCCTCTCAATTTTACTCTTTCTTATTCTTCATATTTAAATCGCTACACAGTCATGTGAATTCAATTTTACTTTTCCTTAGTTTCTTTTTACTTCATCGAGAGGGAGAGAGAGGGGTAGTCATAGACTTGTCTTGCTGTTTCATGCCACCATATGAGTACTTTCATTTTGCCACGTCTGTGAAGGGGGTCTGGTGTTTGGGGTGGCATGTAACGACCACTTTGGGCAAAAGTTATCCATAAGCCAGTTTATAAGGGAAGGTTGCCCAAAGTGCTCATAAGCCCTGCTTTTCAGGAGCGATGTGGGATTCAATAACATTGTCACATTGGGTGGTTTGAGTAGGGGCCGGCTCAAAGTGCTTATAAACTCTCTCGCGCATGCGCGCACACAAATACACATGGCTCAATTACACAAAGCGATATATACTCTCAACGTGGATGAGATTTGGACTTTTGGTGTTTTTTGGATCATGGTTTACTAGAGATGATTTGTCAAAGTTTAATTTTCATAATTTCTTTCAATTATAATTTGCTTGTACTCGTTTGTATCTACATTGGTACACGTGCCTAGGTGCTTGTTTATACATGTGTGGTTGATTGGCTTCCTTTGACTTCATTGGTATTTATATATTTTCGCATACACTAATCACTGTCACGATAATTAAGTATGCAGAATCTATATGACTTTATCAATGACATGTCTAACTAGTGGAATAAAGTTTTTTGTTTTGCATAGTTTGCTAGAGTTAGATTTTTGAAGTATTTAGAAATTGGGTGTTTATGTAGCTGGAGATTGTGTGTTGATGAGACCATCAGACTTGGACAAGCCTCCTTATGTTGCGAGAGTGGAGAAGATCGAGGCTGATCACCGGAACAATATTAAAGTACAGGTTCGGTGGTACTACCGCCCCGAGGAGTCTGTTGGGGGTCGCAGGCAGTTTCATGGTGCCAAGGAACTCTTCTTGTCTGACCATCATGATATGCAAAGTGCTCACACCATTGAAGGCAAGTGCATTGTGCACAGTTTCAAGAACTACACCAAGCTCGAGAACGTGGGGGCTGAGGATTACTTTTGTAGATTTGAGTACAAGGCAGCTACTGGAGGGTTCACTCCAGACCGCGTTGCTGTGTGAGTTTTCAGAAATTGGTTGACTAACATTGAAGTGTGGAAAAATGATGTTTTATTGTTTTTATTTAATATCAGAATACTCTTTGTGGTTTTATGTTTCTGTAGGTATTGCAAGTGTGAGATGCCTTATAATCCAGATGATCTCATGGTGCAGTGTGAAGGGTGTAAGGACTGGTATGTAAACATAATTTATATGCTTCAAATGCATGTTTTGTGTGTTCTGTGATTGAATAAAGTGATGGGCTGTGATGTACTTCGATCCATTAATTAAAAACTTAGTAGGAATTGGTGCTGAAGTGAATTTTTTCTATAATGATAAGGATGTATCTTTAGTAAGTTCCTTTTTTCCCATTATTGTGTTTAAGTTGCTAGATCCTATGATGCTTGGACTCGGGTATGGGTATCAGGTACGGGTATGTATCTAAGTGTCGGATCTTTTATTTTTTAAAATATAGTAGATGGTGACAGAGGCTGGATCTGTAATTGGAAGTGTTAAAGTTAGTAAATTGGCGTTGTGATGTTTAGGATTAGACTTATCTAATTTATGAAATTCTTTTGTTTTCTTTTCCTTTAATTTATTTATTCTATTTCTTAATCTTGTGCAGGTGTTTGATGCATGAAATCAGTTTTAGGAAACTAAGGAGGTGTTCTCTTTGTGTTTCAGTTTTGTGTTTTGAGTTTTGAATTCATTTTGAGTTTTGTGTTTTGAGTGTTTGTTTTGAAATTGTTGAAAATGCGTTCTTTTTGTTAGTTTCTCAAAACAAAAAACAAATTTTTTTTTTTTTTTTTAAATTTTGAGAATCACCATAACACCACTTCAAAACACCAAAAAAAAAAAAAAATATTTATTTTTTTTTTTTTTGAAATTTTGAGAATCACCACACCACCTCCTCAAAAAAAAAAAAAAAAGGAAATGTTTCCCGCGTTTTCAATTTTTTCAAGTTTTACACTGAAAACGCCCAAAACGACGAAAAAGTCGTTTTGTGTTTTCTTCACAAATTTTTTTTCGTTTTCGAAAATTCGTTTTCGAAAACGGGAAAGAGAACGCGTTTTCACCGTTTTGAAAAATCGAAAACAGAAAACGACCCGAAAACGGTAAAGAGAACAGGGCCTAAATTACGCAGTGATCATGAAATGTGGAGAGAAAAATCTGTACCTTAAAAGATGCTTATTGTGTTTGATTACATTTATAACCATAAATATAAAAATAAATGTAAAATAAACACAAACAATGAGAAGAGGAATAAAGGAAATCATCATATGCAATAGGTGAACATGATGTAGGATTAGGGAACCATAGAGAACAATTTTCTACATGGCTGCTGAAGTATTAGATAAACACAATTTTAGTGTCAATTCATTGAAGATGTCCCAATGTTTAGAATGACTTTATTCCAGACTTTAGGATGGCTTATGATTTGGTGTCGGTGATTATGTGCTTCCAAAAGATATTCTTCCCTAATAACTTTTAGGAGTGGATAGAAGTTTAGTCGAATTGATAATATAGTACTTATTTGCTTTTTGATCCTGGTGGTAACTCAAAAGACTTGTCGTATTACACTTAGTTATTGCCAAACTATAAGTAATATGCCTGTGTACGTTTATACTGATAGCAGCTCTTAATGTTTCTGTTGCAGGTTTCATCCTTCTTGCATGGGTATGACCATTGAAGAAGCAAAGAAGTTGGAGCATTTCTTGTGTTCTGACTGTTCATCCGAAGATGATTCCAGGAGGTCTTTGAACTCATTCCCTGTATCACCAGCTGTTGGCAAGGTAGAAGTGCATTTTTCTATTCTGATGCTTGCAGAATGAAAATTATTATATTATACAATTGGCAATTTTTTAATCTTTTTTTTTTTTGAACTTGCAGCATTTGTATTGCTGTGCATTCTGTTATTTAAAAACTTTTATGCATACATCATAACTTTCTGAAGCTTTATTAATAAGAGAAGTCTATTAGAGCTATTTTAAGCTAAAAGAATCAATAGTTCAGCGAAAGCCGACCTCAGAAACACTTCCTAATTAAGATGCAGCAATGGACAGTTTAAGGGGTGTTACTGAGAGATAAATTTATAGGGAGCCTGCGTGAGTATAATTTTGGAGGCAATCCTCCCAGTATCCCAACAGTTCTGGTGAAAACTAAATGTAGGCTTCAACTGGTTTGCCACCAAGGAGATGTCCTCAGGCACCACGTTATTCAGACCCAAGCCATGCTTAGCTTTAACCTTAGTACCAACTCAATCTACTAAATGATCCTTCTGGTCCTTGTCCATGCCCTTCCAACTAAATTCCTGTACCACAAGTTTGATTCTCTTTGCCAAACTTATTATGATTTTGTACAAGATAAATAGTACAATGGGATACTGTGGACAAGTTTGACTGAAGGTAACTCAAAGCTTTGATTGAAAAAGCACCCCTATTCCTTTGATCCTCTTGATTATGGGAATCCATAAGAAAACTTTTGGATTACTTCCTAAAGGTACACCTATACAAGTCATAGGCTACTCTTGTAGTATGCACCTTTCTCTTGACTATGTGGACGGACACTGATTGTGATATACTTCCAAATTCCTTATCTCCATATTTATTTTCAGTCATCAGTTCTATAAATGGAAATCTGATAATTATTAACTGTATCTTAAAGCTCTGTACTCAACATATTAGCTGAAACTTTTTCATTATCTTCTGCATACTACTGATGACACATCGAAAGTCATTATTGTTTTCAAAGTGGCTTTTGGATACCAGTGTAACAAGATAGAATTAAAATACCCTTCTGTTGAAAATAAAAAGAAATAAAATATGCTTCCCCACAATCCAATTGGCGTAAAATTCTGCAAAACTTTCTGATAGAAAGGCCTTCACCCTATCCACGCAGGATCAATAGAGTCGTTGACTTATCCTTGTACATTTCAAAAGCAGCTCTCCTCACTTTTTTCTCCTCAGGAGGCATTTAGACCCAACTTTCCTCAATATATTTTTGGAACTAAACCAAATGCTTGGCTGCATTGATGAGAGATGTGTAACCATAAAATAAAATTTGTTGGACTTCTTGTTCAAGTGAAATATGCAAGTAAACTGATCATTAAGTTCAAAAAAGTTGTCTTGCGTGCATGATTAGGAGGGCTAAAGTGTAAAAACAAAAGGCAGTTGAGATCCTCAGTTGCGGGGGAGTTGAAATTGGTGTTCTTTATAGGGTTCTCCTCTACATGTAGACAAAGGGATTTAGACTAAATGGAACTGCGAACAACTAAATTGTCTTATCACACATATGCATGTGTTAACTCTGTAAACATTTGTGCAGAAATTGTTTTAGTGAAATCTATTGATTTTCATAACTTTGTGGTATTATATGGAACTCACATTCAGGAGCTGATGGAAGATTTCTGACTTTTTCCATGGGGATTCAAGTTAAGTATATATGTTCCAACATTCCTAAGGGCATGAATGTTAAGGCAACTAAGAGAAAATTCTTGATGCTTTTGTTCCAATTTTCAACGTCCATTAGGGACTAGCTTACCCTTTCCAAAAACAAATAGTTCAATCGGAAATCGTCAAATCCTTACAGCCATTGAGTTTATGCGCAAGATCATGTTTTCTAATTTACTCCAATTTTAATTAATTGGTGGGCCATCCTTGATTTAATGAGCTGTCTATCATGACTGAACAAATGTAGATGCAAGTGTTGAATTTTAAGTTTTGAAGATGGATTATCAATGAAATATCAGGTGTTCTCAAGGCCTTGTTTGAGCTCCATTAATTTGAAGAAATGTATTACGGAATAGTGATTAATGAAAAATGTGTGGTTAAAAAAGAAGGTAAAGTTTTCGATTTGCGTGTAATATTATTTTAATGAAAAATGTGTAGTTAAAAATGAGTATTGAGAAAAAATAATGGGAAATAATGTAAAATAAAGGATGATAAACGGGGGCTAAGTTACCTCTTGGGTTGACATGTCAAGTGTCCTTTTTATTTATTTATTTATTTATTTTTCTTTTGCATAATTGTTTATACTGTGTGGAGGGCTTTCACTTATTCAATGGAGCTCATGAAATTATGGGGGGAAAATACCTCAGTAAATTTAGTGTATTGCCCTTCAATGCTTCCATATTTTATGATTGTCGTAATGAGACCTTTTGTTGGTTTCATTGACAGGTGGAGCCGAAGCGCAGAAAGAGATGACAGATAGATCTCCACACATTATAGGCGTACCCAGTTTCTTTCATATTGGCTACCGTATTGCTGTTGTGAGGTGGAAATCATGGAACAATAATAGTAATATAAAAATAACTGGAGTTACAGGAGAAAGTACTCAAATAATTAATAGCGTTGATAAAGTAAATATAATTCTTGAAAGTAAACAAGTTACAATAAATAAATTATATAAATATGATAAATTAGAATGTGATATATTATTAGGAAATGATTTTATTCAACAATTTCAATATTATAAACAAAATAATTATATGATAATGCTGCAAACACTTTGTGGACACTTATTAAAATTTTTTAGAGAATTTAAATCTTATAGGATTCAGCCAGCCCAGCGTGGTGATAAATGGGAGAAAAAACAAATTATATATAATGAAATAAAAAATAAAAGAATATTGTATAAAAAAATTTTAAAAATAGGAATAGAAATGAATATAGAAAAAATAATTGAACAGCCAGAAAAAGTTTATGGAGAAAATCCATTATTATTTTGGAAACCACATCACCCAAAAACTAAAATAGAATTAACAGAAAATGTTATAATAAGAGTCAGACCAATGACGTATACTATAAAAGATACACAGGAATTTAAAAATCAGATAAGAGAATTATTAGAACAAAAATTTATTAGACCTAGTAATGGACCTCATAGTAGTCCAACCTTTATGGTTATGAAACATTCTGAACTAGTTAGAGAAAAAGCTATAATGATCATAAATTATAAAGAATTAAACAAATATACTAAATTTGATAGTTACTTTCTACCAAATAAAGAAGTGTTAATAAATATTGTAAAAAGAAAACAATATTATTTTAAATTTGATTGCAAATCAGGATTTTATCAAATAAAAATGGAAGAAGATAGTATACAATATACTGCATTTAGCACACCTCAAGGAAAATATGAATGATTAGTTATGACATTTGGTCTAAAAAATGCACCACAAATATATCAAAGAAAAATGGATAATATATTTAAAAAGTTTAATGAATTTCTAATTGTTTATATATATGATATATTAATATGTTCTAATAGTAAAGAAGAACATAGAAATCATTTAATCCAATTTATTAGAGAATGTAAAAAGGAAGGAATTGTACTATTTAAAAAGAAATCTATAATAGAAAAACAAAAGATAGACTTTCTTGGATTATCATTAGATAAAAGAGGGATAAAATTACAGACTCATATATCTAAAAAGATAAAAAAATTTCCAAATAAATTAGAATCCAAAGAACAAATACAAAATTTTTTATGATATTTAAATTATGCAGAAGAATTTATTGAAAATCTTTCTAAGAAAAGACATAAAAACCAAATTTTACTTAGAAAAATAAATACTAAAGAATGGAATGAAGAACATACAGAAATAGTTAAATCATTAAAAGAAGAATGCAAAAATTTACCAAAATTCAGATTACCAAATGAAAAAGATAATTGGATTGTTAATACTGATACCTCAGATAAATATTGGGCAGAAATATTAAAAACAGATTTAAATGAAATTTGTAGATATTCAAGTGGAACCCTTAACCAAGAAGAAATAAATTATATTACTCATGAGAAATAATTACTAGCAATTATTAGAGGAATAAAGAAGTTCTCATTATTTTTATTATCCAAGAAATTTACTGTTGAAACTGATAATTTTCAAGTTGCAGGATTAGTCAGGAATAGACTATCATCAAAACTCCAATACAGAAGGCTCCATAAATGGCAAGCTTATTTAGCATTTTTATAATTTTGATATAATCCATATTAAAGGAATTAATAATTTTCTTGTAGATTTTCTCAGCAGAAAAATAAAATTTGCTGATGGATAAAGTCAAGGTCACGAAATTATACCAATCTATCCTACATATACTAAAACGGACAGATTTTTCTTAAAAAAGAATCCGAAGATATAAACTCTGGAGCAATCCAGATTTCAGAGATGTTCAACTCAAATATAAAAAATATTGTTGAATATGACTACTGAGCATCATAAATATGGTATAGAACTCAAAAATCAAGTTAATGCTATTGCAGCGCAACTAAAAGATATATTGTCTGAGACAGATATACCAAAGAGCTCAGAAATGAGTTTTCCAAACCAATACCAAACAGGGACAACTGGAAGTAGCAGTGGACCCAGACGTGATAGCATTTCAACTGATAATAAAGGAGATTCCATTTCAGTATCATCAACCAAAATAGTTATGATACATGGAGATAAAAGAGATACCAAAACAATCAATATAATAGACCAAGAAGATAAAATCTCTTTAGATCCAAAAGAAGAAAAATATGTCGAAATAGTCAAAATTGTTTATGAAATAAAAATGAGTGATTCATATCTTATCTATTCGGGAAATAATGTTTATCCCAAAATAACAGTCATGGAAGGAGAAACCATTCATTTGTAAAAATTATGGCAGACTATGAATTCATGGATTTGATATATCCAGGAAAAGAGTTGATTGAAATTTCGAAGTTTGATGACATATTCATAAAGGAAGTATCCAGATTTGCCAAAGGACGAAAAATATATTTGAAATTCTATTTAATAAGTTCAGAATATGATGGAGTTGTTTACTATCCAGTCGAACATATAATCTCAATTGGATATATTGCTGCCAATTTTCAAATAGATGTTATGAAAAATAATAGAAAAGTTCCAACAGTGGCAAAATCATGGATCAGACATATGAGAGCACTTGGAATTAAAGTCATCTACAACATTGCCAAAAATTTGTTTGATAAAAAATTCTCATACTTGTGTTAATATGAAAATTGGATGTTGGTATCCAATGGAGAATATGGAAAATCAAAAATTTTAAAGGACTATATTACAAGATTCGATATACATCAATTTTCAGGATGTTCTACTACTATAAAATAATCCTACCAACTAAGGGAGTGCCCCAACTGTATGTGAAGAAATAAAGGAAGATGACAATAATACAGCAGCATGTGAAGACATTGAAGAAAAAAAGCAATAATAGAAAAAGATGATCTCTGGATAAAAAGTTGAATCAACATGTGAAGATGTAGGCCCAAGGAGGAAAATAATAAAAAGGCAAGTGTGCCTTTGTTGATGTACTCAACGATGTAATAGAGTCTCATAAACTTGTATAAATAGAGTTATTGTGATGGATAGAATAGAGATCTCATCTTATCTTGAAATCTCGAGTTGTAAGCAATAGTTACTCTAAAAACCATTTCCAATTTGAAAAATCAATTTTTCTGGAAATCCTTTTGTACCAAATAAAAGCCTTATATAAATTCTGATTGAAATAAAACTCCAATATTTTGATATGAATATGAGTTTCTAAATCTTTATTCCCATAGATTCTTGAAGGATCTGATAAAAAGTTTCATTCTTATTTTAGAAAAAAAAGTTTTTCTTTAATAGAAGTCTAAAATTTTATTCTTTAGAAGTTGATACAGTAAGAGCAAGTAGCAAAAATACTAACAATTTCATGTAGGCAGTAGGTTGTTGAAGGAAGCAGTTTACAGATTCAGAGTTCGAAGGTCACTCGATTCTAAAAATAAAAATTCAGATCAAATATAAAGTAAAACTATTAAACTTTTGCTAAAATTAGAATGAATCTTTTTAAGATCTTAAAGAATCATAAGGATTAATTGATGATTATTTGTATGAATAAATGTCAGGATATATAATTGAAGGATTAGATAATCTATTAGAAAATTAGAAAAAATAAAGAATATTATTTCTCAATTAGAAAATATAAATTTATCGTTTAAAGAATATAGTATTTTAATTAGAAAATGTGAAATATATGTTGCAGATTATTCTTATTTATTAGATTATAGAATGAATTTATATTCAAATATTCAAAGTAGAAGATAAAATGTTTAAAAAATTATGATTGAAAAGGAATAGTGATAGGCCCTAGTGGTGAGACCCGACCCGTCTTCTCAGCCCGCCCCATTTTCTGTTCGGATATCCGTCCCCGCAACGGCAACTAGGGTTTTTGCTTCTCTCTCTAGACTCTGGTAAGTTCAAAGTGTACTTGAAGTAGCATATGCCTTCTACACACACAGAGACAATATGATAATGCTATTATCATAATTTCATCCAGATCAATCGAAGAGAAGAAGAAGAAGTGAAGAATAGAGAAGGAACTAATATGGCGAAGACAAAACCAGGCAAGAAGGACCTCGATTCTTACGGTATCAAAGGCACCAACAAAATTGTCAGACGTATGAATTACTCTCTGTCTTCCTCTCAATTTTACTCTTTCTTATTCTTCATATTTAAATCGCTACACAGTCATGTGAATTCAATTTTACTTTTCCTTAGTTTCTTTTTACGTCATCGAGAGGGAGAGAGAGGGGTAGTCATAGACTTGTCTTGCTATTTCATGCCACCATATGAGTACTTTCATTTTGCCACGTCTGTGAAGGGGGTCTGGTGTTTGGGGTGGCATGTAACGACCACTTTGGGCAAAAGTTATCCATAAGCCAGTTTATAAGGGAAGGTTGCCCAAAGTGCTCATAAGCCCTGCTTTTCAGGAGCGATGTGGGATTCAATAACATTGTCACATTGGGTGGTTTGAGTAGGGGCCGGCTCAAAGTGCTTATAAACTCTCTCGCGCATGCGCGCACACAAATACACATGGCTCAATTACACAAAGCGATATATACTCTCAACGTGGATGAGACTTGGACTTTTGGTGTTTTTTGGATCATGGTTTACTAGAGATGATTTGTCAAAGTTTAATTTTCATAATTTCTTTCAATTATAATTTGCTTGTACTCGTTTGTATCTACATTGTTACACGTGCCTAGGTGCTTGTTTATACATGTGTGGTTGATTGGCTTCCTTTGACTTCATTGGTATTTATATATTTTCGCATACACTAATGTTTTAACAAGCATAATATACACTGTCACGATAATTAAGTATGCAGAATCTATATGACTTTATCAATGACATGTCTAACTAGTGGAATAAAGTTTTTTGCTTTGCATAGTTTGCTAGAGTTAGATTTTTGAAGTATTTAGAAATTGGGTGTTTATGTAGCTGGAGATTGTGTGTTGATGAGACCATCAGACTTGGACAAGCCTCCTTACGTTGCGAGAGTGGAGAAGATCGAGGCTGATCACCGGAACAATATTAAAGTACAGGTTCGGTGGTACTACCGCCCCGAGGAGTCTGTTGGGGGTCGCAGGCAGTTTCATGGTGCCAAGGAACTCTTCTTGTCTGACCACCATGATATGCAAAGTGCTCACACCATTGAAGGCAAGTGCATTGTGCACAGTTTCAAGAACTACACCAAGCTCGAGAACGTGGGGGCTGAGGATTACTTTTGTAGATTTGAGTACAAGGCAGCTACTGGAGGGTTCACTCCAGACCGCGTTGCTGTGTGAGTTTTCAGAAATTGGTTGACTAACATTGAAGTGTGGAAAAATGATGTTTTATTGTTTTTATTTAATATCAGAATACTCTTTGTGGTTTTATGTTTCTGTAGGTATTGCAAGTGTGAGATGCCTTATAATCCAGATGATCTCATGGTGCAGTGTGAAGGGTGTAAGGACTGGTATGTAAACATAATTTATATGCTTCAAATGCATGTTTTGTGTGTTCTGTGATTGAATAAAGTGATGGGCTGTGATGTACTTCGATCCATTAATTAAAAACTTAGTAGGAATTGGTGCTGAAGTGAATTTTTTCTATAATGATAAGGATGTATCTTTAGTAAGTTCCTTTTTTCCCATTATTGTGTTTAAGTTGCTAGATTCTATGATGCTTGGACTCGGGAATGGGTATCAGGTACGGGTATGTATTTAAGTGTCGGATCTTTTATTTTTTAAAATATAGTAGATGGTGACAGAGGCTGGATCTGTAATTGGAAGTGTTAAAGTTAGTAAATTGGCGTTGTGATGTTTAGGATAAGACTTATCTAATTTATGAAATTCTTTTGTTTTCTTTTCCTTTAATTTATTTATTCTATTTCTTAATCTTGTGCAGGTGTTTGATGCATGAAATCAGTTTTAGGAAACTAAATTACGCAGTGATCATGAAATGTGGAGAGAAAAATCTGTACCTTAAAAGATGCTTATTGTGTTTGATTACATTTATAACCATAAATATAAAAATAAATGTAAAATAAACACAAACAATGAGAAGAGGAATAAAGGAAATCATCATATGCAATAGGTGAACATGATGTAGGATTAGGGAACCATAGAGAACAATTTTCTACATGGCTGCTGAAGTATTAGATAAACACAATTTTAGTGTCAATTCATTGAAGATGTCCCAATGTTTAGAATGACTTTATTCCAGACTTTAGGATGGCTTATGATTTGGTGTCGGTGATTATGTGCTTCCAAAAGATATTCTTCCCTAATAACTTTTAGGAGTGGATAGAAGTTTAGTCGAATTGATAATATAGTACTTATTTGCTTTTTGATCCTGGTGGTAACTCAAAAGACTTGTCGTATTACACTTAGTTATTGCCAAACTATAAGTAATATGCCTGTGTACGTTTATACTGATAGCAGCTCTTAATGTTTCTGTTGCAGGTTTCATCCTTCTTGCATGGGTATGACCATTGAAGAAGCAAAGAAGTTGGAGCATTTCTTGTGTTCTGACTGTTCATCCGAAGACGATTCCAGGAGGTCTTTGAACTCATTCCCTGTATCACCAGCTGTTGGCAAGGTAGAAGTGCATTTTTCTATTCTGATGCTTGCAGAATGAAAATTATTATATTATACAATTGGCAATTTTTTAATCTTTTTTTTTTTGAACTTGCAGCATTTGTATTGCTGTGTATTCTGTTATTTAAAAACTTTTATGCATACATCATAACTTTCTGAAGCTTTATTAATAAGAGAAGTCTATTAGAGCTATTTTAAGCTAAAAGAATCAATAGTTCAGCGAAAGCCGACCTCAGAAACACTTCCTAATTAAGATGCAGCAATGGACAGTTTAAGGGGTGTTACTGAGAGATAAATTTATAGGGAGCCTGCGTGAGTATAATTTTGGAGGCAATCCTCCCAGTATCCCAACAGTTCTGGTGAAAACTAAATGTAGGCTTCAACTGGTTTGCCACCAAGGAGATGTCCTCAGGCACCACGTTATTCAGACCCAAGCCATGCTTAGCTTTAACCTTAGTACCAACTCAATCTACTAAATGATCCTTCTGGTCCTTGTCCATGCCCTTCCAACTAAATTCCTGTACCACAAGTTTGATTCTCTTTGCCAAACTTATTATGATTTTGTACAAGATAAATAGTACAACGGGATACTGTGGACAAGTTTGACTGAAGGTAACTCAAAGCTTTGATTGAAAAAGCACCCCTATTCCTTTGATCCTCTTGATTATGGGAATCCATAAGAAAATTTTTGGATTACTTCCTAAAGGTACACCTATACAAGTCATAGGCTACTCTTGTAGTATGCACCTTTCTCTTGACTATGTGGACG